GTCGCCCTCAGTACAGTGCCGTGACATCACAGCTCACAGCAACCTCCAGATCTTGGGCTTAGGCGATTCTCTTGCCTCAGCCTCCCGAGTAGCTGGGACCACAGGCACCTGCCACAATGCCTGGCAATTTTTTGTTGCAGTTTGACTGGGGCTGGGCTTGAAACTGCCACCTCGGTATATGGGGCTGCCACCCTACTCACGGAGCCACAGGCACTGCCCCATCTTTAAAATTTTTAATTTTGATTTGACTTTTAAACCTGTAGGAGTAATATTTTCTCTTCAGTGATGAAAGTAACGTAAAAATGGGCTTCCTAGCAGTTTTACACTCTCTAACTGATATTAACCATAGTGGGCGGGAAGAAGAAAGACCGGGTGAGAGTGTAGGCTCCACACATTGTTCATGTTAAAAAAACACAAAATAAGCTTACATAATCTAAAACACGGGGTTCCTGCTTTTTCAAGCATACCCTACCAGATATTTTTGGAACTGAATTCTTACCATGAACATTGAGGTTAAAATTTTTTTTGGCACTTCCAGCTGTGTTCTCAGCTACACACACATACCTGCCGATATCCATTAGTTGAGTATTCAGAATCTAAGGGAAAAATAAAGAAATTCCATCTGAAACTTTGAATAAAGCCCCTTGTCAAATTAATATAATTAACATATATTCTTTTAGTTAACAGCATGTAGACATAAAAAGTATTCGAACATATTAGTGCTAGCTTTTATAAGCTTCAGCAAACAAACACTTATGTATAAAGATTTCCAATCAGAAAAGGCCATTGTAAACACACCTGTAGTACAATGCCTGCAAAATATCGTACATTATTCTCCCATTTGCATCTCTATGTCCCTGGCAGTGTGACTCTGAAGGTCCTCCCATCAGGAAGTATTATTTGCTTTGGTCCTGTGACTGGTTTTGGTCAACAGAAGGTGATGGAAGTGACCATGTCATCTCAAAACTGAGGCCCATGCACTTTTGTGCACTCTTTGGGAGCCCAGCCACCCCCGTGTGAGAAGCCAGGACTAGCCTGCTAGACGGTGAGAAATGGCACAAGCAGAATCGGCATGTTCCTGTCACTGAGGCCCTGGATATGGGCAAGAGCCCAGCCAAAATCAACAGCCATGTGCTTCGGAGACTGACTCACTGCCTGCTGTGCTAAAGAAGGCCCAGAGGACACCAGCCGTGTATTTAATCTGCAGCGCGTCGCAGACACTTGAGTAACCCAGCTGGGACCAGAAGAACCACCTCGCCAACCAGAAGATTTGTGAGCTTAATACATGCTTATTGTTCCAAGTCATTACATTTTGGAGTGGTTTGTTTTATGCAGCGATAGTTGGCTAATACAGCAGTTATTTTAATTTTCTTATGCAGAAATTTATGTCCATCTATTTATATCCATCTTTTGGACATGGACACAGAAATATTTTACATATTTGGTAGAGGCTATAGGATTACCAAGTAGAAATCTTTACAATATTTAGACAATGCTTTGAGAATTCCAGCTTACTTATAGGCAATGAACACGACTTCCTTTTTGTGTAAAGAACTTCGTGAGCTATGCCCTGTGTTGGATACACTGATGGTTATGCTTAGATTCTTGAGCCAAACAGAATGTTATTTATTGCACTCAACTAATCTATCGGTCACGTCCTAACAAAGGAATTGGTGTTATTTCTACAAGTGCCCAACATTCTTTCAGGACACTTGGAAAGAAAAAATATAGACATGCCATCGATAAACACTCCAGGATATTAATAGAGCTTTCATTATTATTTATTATGATCAACCTTTGGCCAATATAGGCAAATTTAATCTACAGGGAAGCTATACTACTCAGAATTTTATCATCAGAAATATGTAATGACAAGGCCTGTCATAATGATTTGCTTATACTATGACTTTTATCACACAGCACAGTGTAGTAAATTGCGATGTGTGTGTATGTGTGTCAGCGTCTGGGAAGAATTCTCACAAAACCGTTAGTGGTGCTCTGACAGAGAGAATAGAATATGGAAGAAGAATTTGATTTTATATGCCTTGGATATTTGGTTATCCTTACAAATAAAATATTTATCAAATATTTTATACAATTTTAAAAATACAATTTTTAAAAGTTAAAAAGACAGTTATTGCAAAATGCAAAGTCAAATAACCACTTTCAAATTTATGCTTACCTGCAGAATTCTCCCATTCGATAGAAATTTATGATGGTCATCTTCCAGCAGTGGCTGTCCATCTTTTTGCCAGGAATTCCTCGGTGCCGGGCTGCCGCTGGATAGACACTCCATCCGCGTGCTCTTGTTCACGAGCACTGTGACCTCTTCGGGGAGATCACTATTTGCTCCCTTGATAATTGGTGGCACTAAGAAATGATGGCAACAAAGATCTAAATAATGACAGGCAATGACATCTTTTCTAAATTAGTTTTCAGACAGCTTTTAAAACGTGCACAACGCAAGGGTGTATTTCAAAATAACTCTGAGTAAATTTTAATTGTCTTACCACAAAAAATGAGTAAGTGAGGTGATGGCATGCTCATCAGTGTGGTTGAAGCATTTCATGTTGTATATGAAATCATCACCTTGTACCCCATGTGTGTATAGAGTTATGATTTTAATGAAAAGTTAATAAAAAATAGGGATCAAAAAAAAAGTTTGGGATGATATCAGGGAAGCAAAATTTGAAGGAGAAACTAGAATTCTCAAGTAACATTTCACAAAAAGAGATCAGAGTGGTACAAAGTACTGGAATTTGTTTCTGCTCTTCCCTCTCCTCACCTAGGCTGTGCTAACCCCCCTCATAGTATCATTCCCACATAGCTCATGCCCAGTTCTTCCCCAATAGATCGTCTCTTGCTTCTCTCTTAGCTCCTTCCACTATGCTTTCTGGGTGTTCAGGCATACAAGTAAGAAGCACCTGTAGGGAGGGATAGTTAAGCTTACTTGGTCATCTAACTTGGGTAAGTTACATCTTATAAAGTACATTTGAAATATTCAGCTTTGGCCTTGTTTGTACGGGGATCATCTGGGCAATCCAGTGTGTCTACTTCCCTAGTCAGAGGATCACTGCTACGAGCATCACCTGGGAGCTCAGTTAGAAATGCAGGTTCTTGGGTCCCAACCAGATTTGTGCAATAGGCATCTCTAAGGAAGGGTCAAGAATTCAAGAGTTCTGTTTTATTTATTTTTATTTATTTATTTTTAGAAGAGGTGGTTCTTGCTATCTTGCCCAGGCTAGACTCAAACTCCAGGGCTCACGTGGCCCTCCCACCTCAGTCTCCCTTAGCTGGGATTACAGGTATACACCACTGCACCTGGCTTGCTCTGTTTTAACAAGCTCTCTAGCTGTCCCTTACGTATGCTAAGTTGGAGAAGTCTCAATCTAGATTTTCCTACCTATTATCATTCTTGTTTAAAATAATACTGTAGAACCCAAGTTCATGTCAGTTATGAACAAATCTACCATAGAATTTTTAAAAATGGAAATGTGAAATGAACTAAGAACACACGTGTTGGCTGCTTTGGTAAAAGTAGAAATTGATTTTTAAAACAAATCATTTTGTTTTGAAAGCTTGGTGTTTTTTTTTCCTACTCTCTTAAAATATACTGTATCTTTCACAATCAGTGAAGACTGTGTTTGATGTGGATGCAATCGTATGGCATTTGGGTCTCCAACAACTAAACTGAACGTCTATAAAGAAAACAGTCAATGCTACCAAGCACGTAATAGAATTCAATGCTACTTTGAATGCATCCTTTCATATTCAAAGTCATGTGGTGATTTTTACTGTACTTCAGATAACATAAAGTGGATAACTTGGACTGCAGATTGGCAAATAATAAACTTGAGTTTCAAATTAAATGAGGCTATTGTTACCCCATACCATGAAAACTAATCACGGGCTGAATCACAGGAGCTATAAGGAGGTATACTCCATGTCTACCATCTGAGGCCTCCACCATAACTCTTCACTCTGAGGGGTTCCTCTGGAGGCCACACCCACCAGCTGGGTTATACCACTCACAGTTGTTCTTAGTGGCCCTCCTTCCACCCAGGAGGTGAGCAGATGTTGTTGTGAAACAGACCTAATTTAGCCAGATGTGGGGAGGGGTGGGGTTAGTTTTTCTTGCTTTGTCTCTACCTTCTAACTCCAAATTCATCTGCAACTTCCTCTAATTAAAAATAACATCCTGAAGGCATGAACATCTACCCTTGACCGCCCAGTCCCATAGTCCTACTTCTGTTTAGCTGACTCCCACTCTGTCCCTAACTACACTATCAGCTTCTACTTAATCAAACTCTTTCCAAACCTAGTTCTAATTACTCCAGGTGGTCCAGGATATTCCTTCACTATTCTTGAAAGGTTAGCACTGGTTTTTTATCTTCTCTTTCCTTTTCCTTTTAACTAAATTGTGGACTTCCAAGTCCATGTTGATGATTCATCTCACCCTAATTAACTGGCTCCACTCCACTGTAGGCATCCACAGCTGTTAATACCTTGGACCATTCAACATGAACCCCCTTTTCTCTGCATGTTAATGAGCTCCCTGAAGAAAGCCCACTGTCTGCTGTATTCACTGCCGTACCCTCAGTACCTGGCACATAGTGAGCGATCAACAGATACTTATCAAATAAATGAATTTTGAACTTTAGTGTTTTCTCTCTCCCACCTCTTTCCAGGCTTCCTTCATAAATTCCCTTTTGTTCGCACCCGTAACTCCAGCCCTTCCACTCCTCTCTGCACAGTCTGTCATCCTCCTAGGCTCATTTTTACTGTTGCCCAACCCCGATCTCTCAGGGGGTTATTTCAGTCTTGCTCTGGCTCACTGCACATCCCATGCTCTCTCACCCTCTAGTGATCCCCTCAACTCAAGTAGGCCACGCTATCTATTTTTTTCTGTACCTACCTACAATTTATTGAGGGTGACTTCAGAGTCCAATGACAGAGCCTACAGCTCCAACTCCACACGCCTATCATAGCCCCACAGTGGCCATTGCTACCACGTTCTGTTTCCCACAGATCCAAACCCCCCTCCTGCCGCTGTTTCCCTTAACACTCATTCTGAATGGGGAGGACTAAATAACTTATACTTTCCCACATTTCCCCTCTTACCCTTCCAAAATTTCTCCCTTTATCCATGAAAGGCTAATTAACATACCTTGGTTCCTTAACTGCTTTTTTCACATGTGCTAGGACCCTGCTCTATCAATCCTGCTCTCTCCACATCCACGCACACACTTGAAATTGTAATTTGCCCCTTTCTGTTAAATCATTTCCCTTGCTCTATAAACGAGCTCAAATCTCTCTTGAATTTTTGTTTTTTTAACAGGTTGTTTACTTCAAATCCTATTCCGCTTCTTCCCACCTCTGCAAAACATCTTCAAAGTACTCTATATTTGTATTTTTACTTTCTGATTACTTATCAGATATTTATTCTTTTATTCTGTGGCTTTGCACCACATCATAGCATCTAAATTGCTACTTTGAATTCCACCAGTGACTTCTTAGTGTCCGAGTCAAATGACCTTTTCTCACTTTTTATTTTCTAAAACTTTTTTTTTTTTCCTGCAGTTTTTGGCCAGGGCTGGGTTTGAACCCTCCACCTCTGGCATTGGGGCCAGCACCCTAGTCCTTTGAGCCACAGGCACTGCTCTATTTTCTAAAACTTTTTTTAGCATTCAATCCTAAACCTACCTCTTGTTAACATTTTCTATGCCCTGGATTCTGAGACATGCTAGTTTACTAGTTTGGAAACTAGTAAAAAAAAAACTCTCCAGAGTTTTCCTCCTCAAACTCTGATTTCCGATTGAAATCATATGTCTTTGAATAGCACCTCTCAAATCTATATTCTTAGTCCAATCCTTTCTCCTATGACGCAGTTCCATATTTTCAACTTCCCATTCAACATTTTACCTAAGTGTCCTGGAACCATGTCTCAAACAAAATTGACTTTCTTCCTTCCCAAATTAAGTTTTCTTAGGTCTTCTTTCTATTAATCTGGCTACCATGTTCTTAATAATTCAGTATAAAAACCTCAGTGTCATCTTACATTCCAACACGAGTGTCTAATACTCCGCATTACCTCCCAACTTCCTGTGCCAAATCTTCCACCCTGACTGCTTCCTGTCTATTCCCACTGCCACTTATCTCACTCAGCCACCCCATCTGTTTGCTCCTGCTTCTAGAAACAGCCCTTGTCTTTCCCCATGCTCTGTCTATGCATTCAGAAATGGTCACCCATCCTTTCTGTGATTGGCTTGGGGGTGGATATGGGATGCACACTTGGCCAATTAAAACCACAGAAATTCAATTCTAGGAATTCAATTGAAAATTATAGGTGAGAAAAACTTTCATTTGGATGTGGAGCTAAGAGGATGTAAGCCTAGAGCTACTGGGGGCCACCTTGCTACCCAAGGGGATCCCCCACCCCCCATCAGGAGTGACATTAATAAAGAAAAACACTCAGGAGAAAGAGAAAGGTAAAGGTGAGCCACAGAAGTCAGACACGACCACAGCCAGCTCTACTCTGCAACGTGTCAGATTCACAAGTAAATGAATTCTCTCATTGTGGTTTAAGCCAGTTGGTTATTTGATACTTCAAGTGTCCTGACTAATGTGCTGTCAATTTATATAAGACGATTACCTCCCTGGAAGAACTATCAGTTTCTGATTATCTTTATAGTCTCTAAAGAGCTTTATGTAACGTCTTGCAAACATTAAGTTCCTCGAAAATACTTCTGACTAAAAGAATGCATAATAAACAAAAGAAAACAAGCTCACAGAGCACCCGGACGTCGTACTGAAGGGAATCCTCTCCGGCCTCATTCACAGCCACACATGTATATCTTCCAGCATCTTCAACTTTAGCCCGGGGAATCTGCAATACTCGCCCTCCTGAAAACAAATCCAACATGTTTACTCCTTTAAAGCTTTGCATAAACATAACAATAAACAAATTCAATATTTCAGGTCTATGACATCCTTGCATTTTCTTTCAGTGTTCCTACTTCATCTGATAGCTTAGTGATCATCCCACCTTTATAACCAACACCGCATTATTAAAACATGACCCAGTCAGATCTGAGAAATAAATAGCTAGCTCACAGAGATTTTCCTGGAGGGCGGAATGCTGCCTGGTGGCCCTCATCACGTTTCCATGTGAAACGTCACTATGCATTGACTTGCTTCTGTAGTTCTGGACACTTTTAAGAGACATTTACATCTTTCATTGCAAGCTCTCATGGGAGTAAATGATAGCCACGGATGTAAAAGTATAAAGCGTACCATCATACACACAATCTTGGAAGAACAGCTAAGTATTTTTAAACTTTTCATGGGAATAATTTAAATTTAGAGAGAAGTGAGGAGAATGGTATAAAAACTTGCCCCCCTGTTCACCGATTATTTATATTTCATCCCACTTGCTTTATCTCTCTCTGTCGTGTGTATAATCTTATTCTGAACAATTTGAGAGTAATTTGGAGACACAGTGCCTTTTTTTCCAAAATACTCATAAATCCGTATTTCATCAGAACAGATTTTTTTACCCTGTTCGTGGCCACCTTTACCTGGCAGGATCAGTACTTTGTCACTTGAGGTCAGGGGACGGCCGTCTTTGTACCAGGTCAGCGTCGGAGGAGGAGCAGCATTAGTCTCACAGTACAGAGAAATGGGGTTGTTGATGATGACATCTTTGGCTTCACCACTCCTTCCGCTATCTAGCATGTTTCCCATCTCCCAGAGTTTCTGAAAACTTGGAGGGACTAAGGAAGAAAGGCATCAAATTCATTCATGTGTGAATGCCAGTGTAAAAGCATTAAGCAAAGATCTTGGTTGTATTTTCATGAGCGTGCTTAGTAAATGTAATAGATTAGACAATGTGAAAATATTTTCAAGTATGCAGACACCTAACTATAACCCTGAGTCCCCCAAAAGTAGTAGACAGAAGTCAGAGCTGGTTCTCATGTGGAAGAATAAGAAATATAGAGCTCCAAAGGCTATGCTTATGCTTTGCTCTCCTTATTAAAGGTCTGTGGCACTTACACCATGGAGGCTCCCTCTCAGGGAGAACCATGGCTAAGGAATATGATCATAGCAAGAAAGATTAATTTTGAGGGACCATAAAAAATAGTGACTCAAGTTATAGCATTTTCCAATGATCTGTCTTACTAAGAAGGCTAACAAATCATAACCAGGATTAAAAACTCCATTAACAAAAATAACAGGGCAGTCTCACTCTTTTCTGGGGACAGATATGAACTTTCTAGAAGGTAATTTGCCAGTCAAAAGCATTAAAATAATCCATCACATTTGACCTAAAATCACCACTGTTAGCAACTTAAGAAAAATCAAAGATGCACTTAAATGTGTATACAGATGGTCAGTGTAATATCACTTATAATATTCCAAGTGAAAACTCGGAAGCAACA